CCCAGTCCCGAAAAATTAAAAGGTTAGTTACATATCGGAAATTTTTTTCGCGCCTGCGCCGCTAGATTCCATTATGGCATCATTCTTCCACTCCTCTGTGGTCTTATACTGCCCCAGCACTGTCATATTCACGGTTATAATGAACTGCCCAGTTAGTAGTACCGCAGGTGCGTGGGGCGTCAGACTGTACAAATGTTCTGACAACTCTGGCAAAACAGGGCAGATTTCGAAATTCTGTCCTATTGACTCCTATTTCTGGTTCTCTTGTTCACAAGAATTTACTCCTAGCAATGACCTCACGTGTCAGGATATTGGTTCAATTTTTCAAAAATTTCTCAGGTTGCTCAGTGTTATAGTCACTGCCCCTAAGGTTCACATAAATTTAATTACAAAATCAACAACAATCATCATATTATATGACATATACTTTATGTCAACTTGAATAAAACTGCTTTCCGACGAGATAACGACCGGCGAACAACTATATATAGGCAATACGATCTATGTTCTACCGGAACGCCCAGTGTTATAGCCAGTATTTTGTTGACATTCATTGTGGGGTGTGACTGTGGATGGCGCCCTAGATTTGGAACCGCCCCACACCACCCCCTATTCCCAGCTTCCAGATCAACTACTGGCCCCTAGAAAACTATCATTTGTGGTGCTGGTATTAGGGACATGTGCATCAGTCGGTCGCATTTTTGCTAAACACCCCCCCCCCCAAAAAAAACCCAACAAAATCTTTATGTACGCTTCTGCGTGTACACATTGGTGTGCACTTAAAAGAACACTTGACAGTTGGAATTCGATGTAAGAGTAGACCGTAGTGCCGCTGTCCTGGCAAAATGTCCCTCATAGCATACTGCATGGCATAGAGTCGGTGCAGAAAATTAGGACGTTAAAATCCAATTCATTTTATATCTCACAGATTGAAGAATCAGCCAACTGATAAACATTTTATATTAACTTCAATTGGTCATCTAGAAATACCCGGTCCTCTGATCGTTAATATCAAATATAACCCAGTAGACATGGAACCACATACAATACCAACTTTATTACATTGGAATCCAGGTAAATTATACTCCAATTAATTCTTTCAATGTTGAACTGATCATTTATTGACATCAAAGATATGTTTCCATTAGTAAAAGGTTTTTCTAGTCATATGTAGATATGTGCCATGCTGCTACCTATGTCTTGTCATATGTGCCATACTGCTACCTATGTCTTGTCATATGTGCCATACTGCTACCTATGTCTTGTCATATGTGCCATACTGCTACCTGTCTAGCCAGCCATGACTATGGAGAGAAAGTTTAAGGCCCATCTGACTAAAATGGTTGCTAGCCCATGATTAAACCTTGATTAGCTGATCATTATTATTATTTGTTGATTTTGAAATAGTGGTTTTGTTTTTAGTTCAACAGAAATGGATGTTAAGTAGTAAATCATGTAAAATGGAAACAGACACTGAAGTTGTCGATGAGACAAACGGAGAAATATTGATTAAGGTACTAATTATAGCATTAATAATTCTACTTGTTCGGGTATAACTTGATGGACGTTGGTTAGACAGACGAATGTCAATTCAACGGTAGTAGATTACACACGAAAAGTTTAGGGTAAGAATAACAAGTCGAACCTTTCGAATGAAGTTCATTTGAACGAATCGCCACCAAAATAACACACCTGTATATACCATATTGTCTTTGAATTCATCAAACCTTATAGTAGAACATGTTGTAATCTTGTATATGTCCTGTATAGCAAATTACCTGTGGAATACAAAAACCGTTTTAAATATTATTATTATTTTTTTATACAAGGTTTGTGAAACATGGAGTAAAGGTAACGAAGACGGAGATTCGGGTGTTTATTTTAGTAAAGACACATTATTTGTTGTGACAAATATATTAAAGAGTATTCCAAATACAGCCCCTACCTTGATTTCAACTAGAGATATGACAATGATGGAAGACTCGGGTATGTATGATAATGTTGTAGGAAACAATTCAAGACTTTATATAGACGCTATTCAGAGGACTGCTACTCACTGGACTAAGGTTAAAGTCTCTGCTTTTCTCTTTTAAGGAACGTTGGTTTATTCCCCGCGGGTTGCTGATGCAGAAGACGATGATGTTAAAGTTATTATTGTTTCTCTCTCAACTGATCAACTTGGTAGTGTTAATATCACACAATCAGGAATGTATGTATTTTTTATAAAATATCGTTAATAGTCCAGACATAAAATTGAATAAACAATATAAGTAGTCCAGAAATAATATAATATTTTTGATATAAAATCAGAAACGAGACGAGGACGCTTTCTTAAATTGTCAAAATTTTATTTTCTTATGTCGACAAGGAGAAACGTACTTTTTAGTGGGACAAAAATATGTATAAATGTCTATTGTTATTCATAAAGAAAATGTAGTTACCAACTTTTCAACTTTTACACAGAAATGCTTTTGATTGTTTTCTTTTCTAATGTTATTTATAATGTTGTATATACATCAACGTATTCATATATATATATATATATGTATTTTTCAAACTATAAAGTACTTCTCGCCGGGTGTTGGGGGGGGGGGGGATTTGACCACTTCCAGGCACGGATTAGAAAACGTTTTAGGGCATTTCCAAAATTGAGACCAGTCGACGTTTGTCGCTTATCATGTACTTCAATACTGGATACCCAACCATTTAACACACTAACTAATAAATAGAAATCAAGTTATCGAGATCGATTTTGTTGTTTAGTGGTGGTGGTCGTGGGCTGCATGTTAGGGGAACAGTTGAAAAGCAAGGCTGAAAAGGGGGAACGGTTAAAAAAAGTTGAAACCCACTGGACTATATAAAGGAAATTGTGAACGTTTTCTGTAGTTGTGGATCTACAATAATCAGTTTGTATCTTTTCTCATTTAATAACAGATTACTTTATTTACCGTGTAAAGAGTGTTCTGGAGAACTGAAAATTCAAATTAGACTCACAGAAATTCAATCAGAAGATATAGAATCGAAAACTACAGACGAGACCTTAACAATAAGGGTGTTGTCTACAAATGATGTCCCCACGGTATTCAGTCTTGTTGGAAATAGAAGTATTTTAAATGTTGATTCTACAGAGCCTGTTACTGTAAGTTATATACAACTAGTGTTACACTAGCATCATTTACTGGTAGTTTCTTATCTCCAGCGTTTAGCTTCACTGGACAATATGAATAACACCACAGTTGGTTTATAAAACCTTATAAGGACCTTAATTATCTAGAATCACAATTAGTAACTAATATATAGGAACATAAAATATACATACCTTATCTAGAGTTATATTTGTCCTAGTAGTCAGCACAATGCCACGTTTCACGTCTTCACCCATGTTCCTGAAGCAACGACTGCGGATAACTTAAAAATTCCCGAACTTATTGCTACGTTACCTACGAACACGTTAACAGTAGCGTTCAATCAGAGGTTGTGACATAGCGACCTCAACGGAAATCTTGACATTGAACGAACCTTGAACTTTGCAACTCGATTATCACAGGTAGACATTTTAACTTGAAAACGCGAGACTTGGTATTCGCAACGATCGATGAATCTGATAGGCTCACGAACTGGCCTTGTACCCAATCGAAATTAGTGCCGAAATATGTAGGGTATTACGCGAAAGCCTTGATAAGATGTACGTGGTTAACGCGAGTTTAAGCCTTCTATTGAAGATGGTTTTCACCTTGCTTTGTTCATCGTCTTAACATATTATTATATTGAAATACAGAATACATAGTGATATTGATATCGATCTCAGTATTCAACAATGATCGACTGGATATATCGTTAACCATTCATAATCTGATATCAATTAATACACGTTGGACATGTGAATAATTACAAAATGAATTATACACTAATTTTAAATTTGCGAATAATTTATCATTAATCAACTTCCAGTCAGACTAAGAGTTTAATATAATAATTAAATTAGAAATTCTAGTAGCTTAAGTTTTGATACTTGCAATTTTCTCGAATCTATCATGGCGTCACAAACTGTACAGAAATGTTATTTTGGTAGACAGCCGATTTGATAATTTGAGATTTCAAACGTTGAATTTGAGAAAAAAATATTGTTTGGCGGGGGAGGTGGGGTGTAAGATTCAATAGGCTGTAGATGACCATAATATTGTATGTTTTAACTCTATATAAAGGTTGGTGGTGGTGTGTAAGATAAGTTTATATTGCTTCTTTAGGAACTGACTTAACACGTTTTTGTATTCCAATCCAATGTATCTTTACTACAATATTCAGATACTGTTAGAAGAAAACCACAAATTTCTCCGCCAAAAGAATAATTTTACCTGGATATTTGGTGCTTATGATGTTGATAAACCAGAAGAATTGAGCGTGCATGTAGATGGTCCATTGAACGGCTCTCTATCTTTAAGTCAAGGTCGTGATTTTGATGACGTATTGAATTGCAATGTCAAGGTAAGTATAAATGATTCATCATCCAGTTAACTGTTGAATTAATTAATTTTGTTTGTAATTAGTTTCAAATTTCGTCATATTTAACCGTGTAGTATTTTCTATTTATTAGTTCGTTATCAGTAACAATGTTTGAAATTAGTTTGAGATTACGTCATATTGGGCAGCACGAGTTATACGTACCGTGTGTTAAACATTTGAAACCTTATAAACCATCTGCCAATAAAATGTCCTTCGGACATCATATATTCCTTGTCACCTGTCTATGTAAACTTGCTTCTAATAGAATATAAATCTATTTTAATAACAACCTGTTCAACCCACCTATTAGATTAAAGTGAAATTATTGACCTGTATAAACACAAATTTTTTTAAAAGAAAAGAGGATAGATCAATCTAAATTATTTTTGTAACAGATGTTCATATCGTATTTCATGAAGCCCATTGTCCCAGTCTTTACATACTCTCTCTCTCTCAATAATTGAGCCATATTCTCCCTTTTTAAAAACTAGGAGATGGCGTCATCGTGTTTATTCATGGATGTGCCTCATCCAGTAGAGGATATGAGTTGGTTGTATTATATAATGACGTATATACCTAATGACGATATAACCGGATATGATGTCATCAAATTATATGTCAGTGACCATATGTCAGTTCGTTCTGATGTTGTGACCATCAAGATGGCCATATTGAATATGCCTTGTATAAATGGCGGAACATGTCAATCTAAATGTAAGTAAAACACAAGTTTACTATAATGCAAATTATCATCCTAAAGTGTGACAAGGGGTGGTGCATAAAGATCCCTACTCTGTTTGAATGTAATGTCTAGATGTAGGTTTACAAAAAACACACAAAAGGTATCTAAGACACCTCTTGACCACATTGAAGTTACTGTTTTTATTGTGATTGTCACAAGTGGCGTAGATCATATCCTTAAAATGGCAGAATATTTTGAATTAATAATCACTTCTACAATTGAATGCCTAGTTATTGTCCTTGATTTAAAATTTCAGGACTAAGTGTATTGTCCACATTTTTCAAACGGTTGACGTGTAATATACCGCTTTATAAGGTGCACAAATCCTGCATCAGGATCTCAGCTTCTGTAAATATGAAATAATATTTCTTCTATTTCTCCCACACTGCTATTTCACATTTTGCAGATATTGATGGAACCAGATACAAATGCCAAGATGTCTTGAGAGCTGATAATTTCTATGATTATTATTCGTGTAATTGTACCAATGGTTGGTCCGGTGTAAATTGTCAGGAGGATGTTAACGAATGTCAAAGTTCACCTTGTATCTGGCCATATGTTTGTTTTGATTTTATAAATGAATACCAGTGCGCATGTCCAGTCGACAATCCCAACTGTGACTCTTTACTTGGCTGGATGATCGCGTTGATTGTTGTTGCTGTTGTCATGGTTATAACCCTGTCGTTCCTGCTGTTTTATTGCTTGTCGTTGAGACGAGGGTGAGTTATATTTGTTTTATGACATCTATTATTATAAACCTTGCAAAATTCGGACAAAATTCCCGGAATATTTTTGGAAGTGGTAATTATATCGTTTTAGAGCATTATACTTTTCGAGGTTAAGGGGATCTACAAGCTATCACAATTAGGAAAGAAAGGTCAACTATGCTAATGACTAAATAATTATTCTCTTGTGCAATTCCAGTTTTAATAAAAATAACAAAAAACTGTTGACCCTGTTGAGTTTTTCATCAAATTGTGAAACACCGCGGTACAAACATTTTATTCCGAAAATTTATTCCGAAATGCGCATAATCGCAAAACAGCGGGACATCGGAGATACTGCTATTCTAAGTTATTGAATTGAAACCCATGTATATTATTTATTGTTATTTTATATTCTAGACGAGGAAGATGGCCCCTTGTATTCAACAGATTTTACTCATCAACACGAACTGGTTGCAATAGCAAAATTATACCGTTTAATCCAACCGATATTGAACCTGAGGTAAATATATCATTTGATTATTTTAACAATAACCCCAGTGTACATTCATAGGACAAGAGTTCCAGAGTTACATCCCAACCGCTCATTTTCCGACAAGCTTGTGAACACGATAGAGATTAGATATCTTGAAGTCATATAGGATCCTTATCAAATGTAGTCTATGACAACGAATTTATCGAGGCAAAGCTGTTGTTTGGTCGTATTTCCACGCTTTGTGTGGCTATCTTAAAGATTAAAGTAGCATTGGCATAAATCACGGGAAACCTTCTCGCTCTGTTATTTCAAATATTTAAATGATCCAAGTTGCTCTAAGAACTAATTCGAAATAACAACCTCTTGAGAAGTTATCTTGTTAGAATTCAGGATATTAATGATATATTTTGAATAAAGCCTTTCTTGCAATATATACTATTATTTTATTTCAGTGTGAAGTCAACTGTAGCACAATTTAAATCTGGAACAACAGGACTTATACAGAACAAACGTTAGACCAAATAAAAACAAAATATCTCTGTTTACGGTTACTTGGCCACAAAACGTTGGGTCGACCGGTCGGACAGTTTAGGGTCTGTGATTTGGTTCGTGTCGAGCCACCGTAAACACAGGCTATTGTTTTATCTTTTGTTGGGTAGAGGAACCGCGTACTTCTAAACTTAAATAAATCGATTTCACACACACTTGTCCACTATTTTTGCCTTAAAATGCATCTTATCATTATTGTTCCATACTGAAGATGGGTCAGGCTATAAACAATCTATAAAATATTTTAACATTTAGATGATCATGTGTGTTATTTGTTGACCAGTGCATTCTTTAATGAATGGGAAGCACTGGGATAGGGCGCAAAATATTTTTGAATTTCGTAGACCTGGAACTCTACCGATGAAATAAAATAAATACACAATACAGTCTGGTATGGGGGACAATTTGCCTACTTTTATATCGAATTCAACAACTACCAAGGGTTCTTTTACACGGGACGACACTACCATTCTAACGACTCTACGTTGTCCTTTGATAGGCCCTCCGTCCTGTACTGCTGACAATGAGTAACCACACCGAAAAAAAAATAACTTTCTCGGTCAACACAGGGATCAATTAATTGATTGCCATTAACTTCCATGAATAGTAATCTATGATTAGTTTACAAAGCGATAATCAAAGCGATAATTAGTTTAAAAACTAATGATTATGTTTTAACCAATACAATAGTTGGGTAACGTAAGGTAAATTAAAGTTTAAAATCGCATGGCCTTCGATGACACTGATTTCTTTAAAGAACTAAACCAGACCAAATAAATAAACGAAAAAGAAATATATGTAATATTAGACTTATACAGTATCCATAGTAATAGCTGGTTTACTCTGGGTCTTCACACATGTACTATTAGACTTATACACTCTCCATGTAATAGCTTGTTTATACTTTGGGTTTGGCGCAGTTATTTGATTGAAAGATTACTTCGGCTTTTGAATATTTCTTAAATGGAAAGCGTAATTTTATGCGATGGTTGCTGAGACAGTTATGCATCCGATAAACCAGCTGATGTAATGTGCCAGTATTGGTTCTTTATATCAAGTTCAGATGACAAGACTAGTTTAACATCTTATAATACTTTTATTCTTCTTCTATTATGTACAAAACTTAAGACTTCGTAATTAGCTTGTGTTGGGGGAGCCATGTCCTAGCTTGGCACAAATGTGCCAACTCCAATACGCTCTCCCTCATTCCTTCTCGTCCCGTGCCTAGGCGCACATGGCCTGCGCGCTCGTGTCCTGGCCTGCGCGCTCGTGTCCTGGCGGGACCTCTTTGTCCATTTGTTTGTTATCTGGGTTTTATAACCCCTTCCAAACAAAGGATCTTTTTAAGCATCTGGCTAATGTATCATATATCATATCAGGTTTAACATTCGATACATGCTAATCAGACAAAGAAAGTTTCAATAAAACATGCCAACAACAAGTTAAGATTTAAGATTACATAATCAATAAAACATGCCAACAACCAGTTAAGATTTAAGATTACATAATCACATAAGAAAGGCTACCAAGAACACCAGGGGTCGGACAGGTTGATATTAAAATCACTTTCATGTGTCAAAGTGGCAGGAAGCGTCTATAACATCTGTGATTATGTAACAGTAAGTAAACTGTTTTAGGGGTTTTTCTAATGACAGATTTTCGTTGCTTTGGATGAATTCAGCCCTCAAAACGCCCTCCGTCATACTGTAGACATTATTAACTTCTCTAAATATATCTAAAGTGATTTATATAGCATTGTTATAGATTCGGTTTAACACGAATTAATCAGAAAAAATGTCATTTTCGTTTCAAGGGAGACAAGTATATTAAAGCAGTATTTACCGACTGGTATTGTTTTGTATGAAGGAGAATATATATGGCTGAATAGTTGGAATAGATATTTGGGGAAAGATTTGACCATTGGCTTTATTAAAAAATACCGGTTTCATATTATAGTTGGATATATAGAAAGCTGTGAATTTAAACGTTTGAATATACACAAGAGAACATTCAGAATTTCACATTTATCCATTCCAGCGCCTAAGTTAATACCCAGCTATTAAAGGCATTTTGCATACCGATAGTCCATTGGCCAATCACGCATTTTACCGAGATTTCGCCTAATAGTTTGGATGCAGCTATGGCGGGTGTGGCGCCAGGCAGGGTAAGCTTACTCTTCCGGACACCTGTTTCTACTGTTTATCGTGTATTTTGTACACGGTGAACAGTCCATATCCTGATTACACTATTTTGCCATATTACACTATTTTGCCTATACCGTATTTTTAGGACTTCGAATTTTGTCTAATGGTTTTTATTGCTCGTACTTGGTTTGGATTGTTCCTACTTGGTTTTATTTTATTAATAATACATTAAAACCTGTTTTGTTTCTTAAGGTCAAGGTAAAGTAACATCATCTTTTTGCAAAGTAGTTTCGACACCAACAAGGCTGAACATATGATTATCCAACACAGGTTGGCTGGCCGAATGGGTAGCGAGAGTGCGGCGGTGGATCAGGAGGTCTGCCGTTGGGTCAAGTGGCATGGTTTCGATTCCCCGCTTGTACGTGACAAGGAGTATGGTCGCCAGTCCAGCCCCGTGGGTTTTTCCGGTATGACGCGAAGATACTTATTGAAATAAAAATTGAACCATATGGCAGTCCCAACATGGCCTAGTTTGTGGCCTGTAGTATGGGATCTCTGAATTCTTAGTACCATATTTGAGGTAACAACAGTGAAGATATGAATTATGAAGTATTTTTGAAACAATCAAAATCTGCAAAAAAAAAACTTAATTGTCATCTCCATGTACAATCGTCTTTTGACGGGGTTGGTAAAGTATCTAGATTTGTTTTCAGATCTAGATTACTAGAATGGTCAACACAATATCATCAGTAAGAACGATTCCAAACACAAAGCGTGCACCGAGCGCAGAATAACCATCAAAATACTTAAAGGCGAAAGGATGTTACCGATAATGTAATACCTTTAGTTTCTTATCAAATGGGTGAACATTGCCACTGCCTCACGTCCGTTGTACAGCATGATACTCGGCATTAGGTTGCTAGACAATTATGGACCAGTTCCCCAGAAATGTTAAGGATATGGCCGTGAGGCCACGCTACTTTGTGAGATATTTTTTGTCGATTATTATGTTTGAATGCAGCTGCAACATTGGACGGTCCGGTCTCCATAGACTGTAACCGATTATTCGGTTAGACTATGTTAGACCACTCAGAAGTTGCTGTATTCACGGGCTGGAATAGCAGTAAAACGCGTAAGATCCGCTCCTTTCCCTCTCGCAGAAGACTGGCGCTGTCATCTGTAATCTCAATTGTTTTCTGGTATTTCGGGTTCTGATCCCGCCCCGCCCACACTAAAAGTCATTGAAACGTTACGCCTATGTTCGTTAGCCCTCAATTTTATTTCATAATATCCTACCTGATATATGTACATATGAATTATCGTTCCTTACGCTAAAACTCGCACTTTCCGGTACTAGACCAATCGAGTCTACCGGAAGTAGTAAACATGCGCACGCACCAGATCACATGATCCCATGCACATGTCAGTTCGTTTTCTCGGCGCTTGCAAATCGCACGTGTTTTTTTTTTTTAGTGTTTCTAATTTGGAAGCCATTATGGCTAGAGTTTCGGATGGAGAGGAATCTTCGTCAAGTTGTTTGTCTTCGACTTCGGTAAGTAATCATATTAGGGCGCTTTTATCGGGTCCTTGTAGAATGATTGAAAATAAGACAAATGACGGGGAAAAACGAGGTCAGCAAACTCGTAGTGAACCGCCGATTGATACGGGCGAAACTATCCAGGAAACGAGAACAGCTAATAGTTCTATTCCTTTGACTTTATCAAAAGAAAAGAAGAAGAAATCGAGTAAAACAAAAAGTCGGTTGGATCAAATGGAGTCCAAACTAGATCGGTTGTTCGACCTAATGGTGAACAAAAATAATGCTACCGATGTAAACAATACGGTTATCTCCCCTGGACTGTCTGAAACGAGATCCGACAGGGTTACCGAATCTAAAGATTCTAAAAGTACAAAACAGGATGTCATTTCAAGAAGGAGCAAAGGAAATGATTATTTTTACCATGATTCAGATTCAGACTCTGACTGTCTTTCAATTCAACCCGGTCAAGATGAAAGGATTGATTCATCGGAGCCTGAGGAAGATATGCCGGTCTTGCCCTTGGAACAGGGAATTAATGTAAATGTCGACAAATCTACCAAAGGTCCAGGATTGTTTTCCATCTTTGGCACTGACGCCACAACAAGAAAGGACACTGTGAATGAACCGGGTATAAGGCTAGATCAGTCTCAAAGAGATGTAATTAATCATAGTTGGAGGTGTTCGATTAGTTGAATCATGTCTCATTCAAAAACATGGTACCTCGGCATCTTTTGCTAAGTCAGGCCGTTCACTATATCAACAGCCATATAAGATGGCCGAAAAATTAGCTTATAAAGGGCAACAAGCAGCTTTAATGGGTATAAATATTCAGCTATATACCCAACAAGCGTTAGGTACACTTATGCAGGGTCTTGTGTCTCAGGATAGTGAACTCACCAAAGAACAAATCATGCATCAAATTCAAAACATTTTTGCCATGTCGACAAAAAATCTTGATCAATTTGGCAGGGTGGGTGCCTTTCACCATGCAATCAGAAGAAGCATGGCCATGACTGACTCTTCTCTCTATGAGGTAGAGAACTCACGTACCTTGTTTAATCTCCCTCTTACAGGGGATGGAGTTTTCGGTTCTAGCCTGGAGAAGGCTCTGAAAGACAAAAAAGAGCAGAAGAAAGCCGTCCAGGAACTTTTGCCGGTTTTAAATAACAGGAAAAGAAGAAGTAATTATATACCAGAGGCATCATCAGCTAAGCGCTCTAACACTTTTCAGTCTCGCCAAGGTAATAATTTGAATAGTGAACATATTTTTCGGGCTCCAGCAACACCAAGAGGGAGGACATACAATAGGGGCCAGTCCTACTCATTTCGAAGGGGACGACGAGACTATCAGGAGGGAAGAAAACCGTCATTTACCTCTGCCTCAGAAACTAGAGGTTCCAGATCTACTAACCAATGACACAGTAAGTGT